GGGAATTCTGGGAGTTGAAGTCCACTCATCTTAAAGTGGCCAAGTTTGGACAACACTGTTTTAGAGAGAAGTAACCACAACGAGCAAAAAAGATCACCAGTAAATTTGGAGAAGAATTGAGAAGTAAAATAATTATATTAGATTATTCTAAACCAAGAGACAAAAAAAAATTTCTCATTTGGACTTGACCAATTCTATGCCTTTACAGAACATCAAGGGCATCTTTAACCATGCCAGTGTAAGATGTGGGGCTCTCCTATCCAAGAGCGAGAAACCCTCTAAGTAATGTAGTAGAAAGCATGACGTGATGTCCAAGGGACCATGGAATAGGAAAAAGCATTTCTACCCTGGAAATGCAGGTCAGTACAAATAGCCTCTGCATGGCATTGCCCATTCACTTCCAAGCAACGGTTTATAGGTGGGATAGCTTCCTCCAAGCACTGGATTCCATTTCCAACGTAACCGGCCTTGCATTCACACCTCCGGGTATTCTGCAAGGCAAGAACGCCAGGCGTTACTGCAATTCTATGGCCAGAGATGGCCATCAAGTCAGAGGCGGGCAGCAAAGAGGGTGGAATACAAGAAGAATTCAGCAGCAAGCCAAAAGAAAGACAGTCCGAATTGGTAAGTCTCCTGCCTTCTGCAGTGAGTCACAGGATTTAATTCCTAAATTGTAGCATTACTTCCATTGCACTTCCGATATAAGGAAAAGTATTGCTATGTACAGTAGTTAGGGATTGGTGCTTTGAGGTGTCTGGGTGTTTCCATTTCCTGAAATGGTGGAGCACTTCCTCTACCCATAGGCTTGGGGTCAGAGTTTCCTCACTTTCTCAAAAGGAAGATCCACCGTCCATCTGAAAGTAACTTTGGCTAGTGCTTTTGCTTCCCAAAATGGGCTGCCAACTACTTATTTCCCTCCATAGTTTCTATTTCTCTAGAGCAGTGTTTCTCAACCTTGGCAACTCTAAGATGTGTGGACTTCTGGGAGTTGAAGTCCACACATC